GCCTGTAAAAAGCGGGTAATGACACATTTTAAACCAACACATATTACTGCGATGAAAAACATGCCATTTGTATTCATTGTTCATCTAACAAAGGTACGTCAAAAAGTGCATAAAAACACAACAAATTAGCATTAATTTAACAGAATCTGAGGATTCTCAAAGTGCATAAAAAAAAAAGTGCACAGTTGTAGCATTACATTTGTTTGCTTTAGAAGTCAAATATTCAGGTTATTTTTTTTTTAACCAGGCACATCACGAAGTGCATTTAACTGCATACAATAATAGCAGTCTTAATAAATGTTCTCACATACAAAATACAATTGGATACATATGACACATGCACATCAAAAAGTGCATTAACAAACAGTTAAAGAGCTCCAATGTAACAAAAAGAGGTAGTAGGCCTCTAGCAATACTATTTTTTCACTTTTCAAGTAATAACAAAAAAATCATACGTTTTGGTCACATTTGACCCAGACACATTACAAAGTGCATTTAAACACAAAAACAACTGTCAAACCCTTCAGTGCACAAACAAGAACATAACAACATAACATATGGATAAGGGTAACTAACATATGAATGAATACTACACTACACGTCTACTATAGTAAACTAGGTGCTTACTATCACCTCATTTGTGATTTGTCATCGCTGAACTTTCTCAATGGGAGAAGTGACATTTTAGTTTTGAACAAGAGCAGTGATTTTTGGCTCATAGGATGTCAATGCAATCCTAGAGACATTGGTGAAGAGTGCCGTCAGTCAGGGAGCAGCGAGTGCTACTTTTTATTGAGTTAATGTGTGAAAAGCTTGATTCACATTTGTATGTTGATCCAAACATACTGAGCACACAGATCGCTACTTTCTGAACGTTAGGGAACTGTTGTTTTTTGACATCACTCCAAAACTTCGCTGGCCCGTCAGTGCGCTGCTCTTGTGCCATGGTTACGGATGAATGCATGTCAATAAGTTCCAGTGTACATTTCCCCTCGTCGATGGAGGGGACCACTTCCTTTGGTTGATACGTCCCCCTCTATTGCAACAGTGAAGGGGTCTCTGGCAAAGCCCATCACCTCTTTGGGCAGAGCAAGTCCATCCAATCGACCGGCAAAGTTCTCTTTCAACCTCGCAATGAAATCTGTCATCACATCGGTGATTTGTGCTGGGGATGTGATGTGTTTGCGGAGCGTCGGAAAATGCAACATCTGACCCGTACTGAAGTCGGTCGCGAAAAGGTCCAGCTTGACTTGGGCAATGACTCGCGCATCTGCTCCACAAAATCAATGACCGTGTTGTCTTTGTTTACGCTTCAGAGTTGAGAGAGACATGTTTTAGAGTTGCTATCATAGGACCACCGTTACTAGCACCACGAGATGCACTTTCAAAAAACGTGCTGCGTTGTGGTTTCTATGCAACATGGAGTGTTGCGTTCATGGTCTGTACTAGTGTAGGAATTTGGCCACGGGAGGCTGGGCCACTCGGGAGTTGGTTCTGGGCCGCATCTGGCCCGCGGGTCGCCATTTGAATAGGCCTGCACTACAGTGTGTAGGTGCCTGTTATACAGTGCGTAGATGTGGCGGACAGACAGGTCTCAGTTGGTTTGTTGTCTTTTGCTTACTTTTACTTGTAAATAGAACTTTTGGCCCGTAATTTCAATTCCCCATTTCAGCGACCAGAGAGGGGGGGGGGGGGGGGGGGGGGGGGGGGGGGGGGGGGGGGGGGGGGGGGGGGGTATATCCAGTCTCTAATTGTGTTGTCGTTATTATGAGAGTGCTCTCATACGTGTTTGATTCTGAAATTGTATATAAATATATATGTGTGTCCGCATCTGTAGCCTGTTATTGTCTCATTATACCGCACGAACACATCTGTCATCATTAATGGACGTCTCTTTAAAATGACCGCTCAGAGGAGAGGATTTCTCATTTCTCTAAACGCCTGCTGCTTCCCCTCCTCTCTCCTCGGTTCCCCTCCTCGGCTCCTCCGCTCGCATCTCCTGTGGGCGGGACTAAGACACGAGGATAGGAGTCGAGGAGGGGAAATTAGAGAATTGAGAAGCCTTCCATTGAATAGCAAAAGACTGAGCATAGAATGCGCAGTGTAGTTTTGAGCCCACATGGCTCAACACAGCTCAATAAGCAACACGCACACACTGTAGACAGGGCCGGCTCTAGAACAAATCGAATGGGGGGGGAATAATTTACCACGGTGGGGGGGAGGGGCACACACTGCCGTCAACAACCAACACACAAACACCAACGCAACTTCAATTTCAAAACATGCTGTAAAGTCTATTGTATTTCACACACATTGCAGGGGTGTAGTGCTATTTATAGCGCACCTATGACTTGTGCATACATGCACGGTTGTGGCACGACCACCAAAACAGAAACATATGGACATAGGCCACCATATTAAAAGTGTGCAAATGTATTTAGTATCCTATACATGTGAACATGTTTTAGGTGGGGGGGTGGACCTTGTTCTAGTGGAACGCGGTTCCAGGGCCGGTTCGGAGCTGGAGCTTGAAAAGCACTGGTTTTTCCTGTTCACACCGCAGCAGAGCCGCCTCTAAGCTCTGGAATCCGGTTTGTTTCAAGCACCAAAAAGTTGTGGGTCTAGAAAGCAAGCACCGCATACGTCACGCTTACGTCGGAGGCGGGGGCAGGGGCATCAGTTTTAATGTTATACCATAGTAATTAATGCTGCAAAGCTGGGTATTTTGAGCTTGGCGCATGCAGAGGCTAACAACAGCTAGCTCTAACCTCATCGAATAGGACGTATATTTATATAACCCTAACCCTTCTTTCTCCTACGGAATCGTCGTTGAAGTTGATGATGATGATTGTAAAGAACTTTTTAATGTAGCATGTAACGACTGTAAAGTTGGGAGTAAAGTAGTCCCATGTCTTCCATTTCGTTTAGACAGAGCAAAACCAAAATGAGTAGCGCTTCAATACAATTGGTAATTGTAGTTGTTGTCGATGTGAGGTGTTTCCGCGCGGTTTGGTTTTATGAAGCATGCACGCAAACTGTTACGTCATGATACATACAATGACGCAATGACGCAGTACCAGTCGGGCTCTGAGCGGTGTGAACAGAGTGGGAGCTGAACCGAAGAACCGGTTCCGAACCAGAACAGCTCTAGCACGGAGCTAAAATGGGAAAAGCCTTGGTGTGAAAGGGGCATTAGGGGGTCCGGGGGCATGCTCCTCTCCACCGTAGTCCCAATCCTGATTGTATTTGTGTAGTCTCTAACAATAACATATTTGATAAACTAGTGGTCTTTCTATAAGATTAGTCTCAACCACAGAAGAGAGATACAGGATATTTCATAAAGCAAGCAGCAGCCACACACACAGCACACACGTTGTGCCTGATGTCACATGTGTTATAGTTGTGGTGTCTAATACCAAAACCCCCTCCTCTTCCACAAGAACAGTCATTTTGTATCTTTATTTATAGTGTTGGAAAGTAACTAAGTACTGTGGTGGAACATTACGGGACATAATTCACTGTGTTATACATAGTATTTTACCCCACAGACCTGTTAGGTAGCGCACCTGTGGTTTGTTATCATTCTAGCTTGAGTAGCATGTAATGAAGTTGTTCTGAGTTGGTATACGGTCAGCCGCTGAGGGTTCCAGGGGATATCCTCCCCAACGCCTCGGCCCCCTGGTCGGCGGCGGTCGAGCGGGTTTTCCTGCAGGACGCCGCTAAGGCCTTTGCTCCGATCCCCACTGCTCAGCACGGAACTCAGGTGTCCCGGGTTCCCGTGGAGCTTCGCTCGGCAGAGCACGTGTTCATCCGGCACGACGCTCACAGAGGCCCCCTGCAGCCCCCTTACGATGGGCCTTTCCGGGTCTTGGAACACAGGGGCAAGCACTTGGTGGTCGACCTGGGTGGCAAGGCCGAGCAAGTCTCGGTGAACCGGGTTCAGGCCACTCACCTGGACTTGGACCAGCCGGTGGTGCTGGCACGGCCTCCGCGTCGGGGCCGCCCCCCCAGCATTGACCCCGGTCACCGATTTGGGGCCTGCGGTTCCGGTCCCACCTCTTCCAGCGGCCGCCCCTGCAGGGGTCGCCTCCCCGGCTCCAGTTCTCCGGAGTCGTGGTGGTCGGCCTGTCGTTCCTCCCCACCGCACGGACTTTGTGTATGGGTGAATTCTGGGGGGGCTTGTGTGGTGGAACATTACGGGACATAATTCACTGTGTTACAGAGAGTGTGTTGCGCCACTGACCTGTTAGGTAGCGCACCTGTGGTTTGTTATCATTCTAGCTTGAGTAGCATGTAATGAAGTTGTTCCTACCTTTCTGTAAACTAATGGAAAATAAAGTGTGGAGTTCCATACTCAACACGACGCCTCCGATTCCCATTCATCGGCTCTACAATACTCAAGTTTTTTTTACTCAACTACTTTTTGGGCATATTTGTACTTTACTTGATTATTTGCATATAATTCTACTTTATATGTCTACATTTCAGTGGCAAATATTGTCATTTTACTCCACTTCATTTATTTAACACTCACAGTTACAAGTTACTCTCTACATATGCTGATATGGCTAAATGCAGTACTGTACAGTACTACTAATCCTCATAGTATCTAAGTATTGCAATGTGTTCTACATGGAGAAGCTACAATACTGAAATCCTCTTGTTAAAAAACAGGATAATAAAATAACTATAATAAAACGAAAATATAATACGGTGAGAAGACTTTTGAAACTTGAACTACATTTAGCTGATAACGAGCCATTGTGCATGATGAGCAGTTTTACTTTTAAAGTCTATTTTGATGCTAATACTTTTGTACCTAAGTAAAGTTCAAATGTTTACTTTTGCTTTTACTGGAGTACGTTACGACCACAGTGTTTGTACTTTTACTCAAGAAAAGGATCTGAGTACTTCTTCCAACAATGGGTGTTTTTATGAAGAATTGCGTTTCCACCAGTATTTGAGATGGGATGCTTTTATTGTGAAGAACACTCTGACCGGAAGTACCGTGCTGCTGCTGCTGCTGCTGACAGCGGAACTCGGGTCTGTATGAGGTTAGCTCTCTTGACAGTGTTTTTACACGGTCTTGCCCTGCCATATATCCTCTGTATAAACCCCCTCTGCTGCACACAAAGGTAAGAACTTCTCAATCTGAACACATTTACATGCTGTCTCAAAAACTCTCTTTCTGTAGCGTGAGAGTCACGTACTACTACCCCTGTTCCTGCTGTCATGCAGAACATTTGAGCTAAGAGCTAGCTAACTGGAGCTGTCACATATTAAACCTGTATTTGTTTATGCCATTTTGTGATATTTAAATCGGGAAATAACTACTAGTAATTATTTATATGACTGTCCCTTTTGTCTGGTGTTTTCAAGCTACACTTTGGAGGTCTGTTTGATTGAGCAAGCTAACGCTAACGGACGTCAGAGGGCCAGGTTAGGTCAGTGCGCTGGAAATGCGAAGCTGAGGGAATATGAATGAACAGAGGACAGGAGGACTAACATCATTATGTTCAACAAAAGGGACGTATAACACCCAGAGGTGGAGAAGTACCAGAGTGTAGGAATACTCTGTTTCAGTAAAAGTCCTGCATTCAAAATGTTCCTCAAGTAAAAGTAGAAAAGTATTCTCATCAAAATATAGTGAAAGTAGCGACAGTAAAAGTAGTCGTTGTGTAGATTGGTCCATTTCAGAATAATATATATGATATGTTTTATAATGATTGATCATGAAAGTGTTCTCAAAGCTGGTAAAGGTGCAGCTAGTTTGAATGACTTTGTGTACTGCAGGGTAGCTTGTGAATTTACTCCAGGTGGAACTAAAGTCTGATTCAACACTTGATTAGATTTCACATCATTCATCCAGATCTGTGAAGTAACTAAAGGTATTAAATACATGTAGTGGAGGAAAAGTACACCATGTACCTCTGAACTGTAGAGGAGTAAAAGTACAAAGTACAAAAGTTCATGTCCCTCAAAATTGTACTTAAGTATAGTACAGTAAGTATGATCTTGGGGTACTACAAAATCCTTCAAAATACACATGTTTTCACTGTCAAGCATTGGTGCTGGTTGTTCAGGGGGTTGTACCACACAGTAAGGCCCTGCTCCTAAACTAACCTGTCAAATATGTGGAAATTCAGGATGTGAGGGCCCCGTAAAGAGCTTCTTTTATCAGTTCACCTTTCACACAGATAATATCTTTCAAGGAAATGACTTGCCGTTAAACCTGATGTTCTGATCTCTTATTCTGTTTCATTTTCAACAAGCAGGCAAAAGCTTGTCCAACATTCAGATACACATTTCCATTCTAGATTTTTAAAGATTGATTGGTTTAAAGTGTAATCAGATTACCAAAGGACATTTTCAGTTATGAAAGGTTTGGGAAATACGGGCCAAGAGTTCACTAACCCTCAGGGTAATCCATTTCCACACATGCAAAGACCCCAGATTGTAGGCTAGGCCTTGTTAATAACCCTCTTTATGCCTTGTTTCATATGATCCCTTCTTCTGTGTGTCAGTGTAAGGCATTAAACACATGCTTCTGTTGCTTCCATTTTTTGATTTAGATTTGTACTGACAAACAGAGGAGGATGTCTGCGACTGTGAATAATCCTTTCCAACATATAGTTGAGCCCCTGGACCCCAAGGACCCAACGCAGCAGTTTTACAATCTTTCCAAACTTGGAGATCCCAGATATGGTAACGGAATGCTTTACTATATGCAGATATGAAACTTCTTTACAGGGTCATTTGTATTTTACTGATATCAATTCCAGCAATGTTCCATGTGAATGTGTTCTTCAGAGCGTCTCCCGTTCTCCATCCGGGTCCTCCTGGAGTCTGCTATCAGGAACTGTGATGAGTTCCTGGTGAAGAGCTCAGATGTGGAGAGCATCCTGAACTGGAAGCATACCCAGACTCAAACTGTGGAGGTCCCGTTCAGACCGGCTCGAGTCATCCTGCAGGACTTCACGTGAGTGGACCCCCCTCTTATAATCAGTGTCAGTGATTTGCTCCAAAGGATTTGAGCAAAGGAACAAACATCAAATAAAGCTCTATTGTGTAGTAACGCATAGAGCATTTCAAATTCTACACATATGTCTCAGAGTCACATGGAGTGTAACTTGTTCTGTGAAAACACATTCTTACAGTATGTCTTATGATCTTCTGGAGGAACGATAACCCTGATGCTGTCATAGTCATGTGATCAGGGTCATCTCAGTTTGGGCTCGGAGACTTAACGTTTCTAATAGAAAGCCTGTTTGGATTATAAGAGACATGGTCCTTTGTCAGTCAGAGAGGGTCTACCAGAAAGAGAACTATTGAGTTGCATTATGGGAAATGTTATATCCAGTGTTTTTGCTCGTTGACCCGACCAGGGTCTTAAAGTCAGGTCACACTCGGCTGCTTCCATTTTGACCATTTTGGGGACATATCTTTATTGTATACTGATACACAACTTAAAGGATAAGTCAGGTCATATTCTATATTTGCATTGTTTGCAGCAAATCTTATTTACACAGCCAAACCAGCAATGAATGGACTTACTAACAATAATAGTGTTTATCGTAACCTGATGTGTTATAATCTGTGCTATAGCGCTCTGTTCAACACCTCAATGAGCCACTCTGTAGTGCATACATGTTCATTGATTCCAGTAAACTGTGGTTTTAACCCAAATACAGCGTCCTGTTGCCCCAAACACTCAGTAGAGCCTCAAATATGTATTCTTCCGCCACTGAAAATAGTCTTCAATAAATGCGCAAATTCCATCAATTTGAAGTGACTTCTGATCAAAACTACAGTGAGATAAGAAATGCCTTTAACAGCTTTTAAAATGATCATATTAAAGAGCAACATAAGGGTATGGAATACAGAAAGCATTTAGAGAAATGCAAAATGGTGTCATTCTTATCCTTTACAATATCTATTATTTTAGCATTTTATGATACTGTGCAAATATAAGAACATGCTGTCAAACAAAAAGCTCAATGGTTAATGAACTACTGAATATGTGAATAAGAAGACCAGTGCAGACCATGGTGAAAGAATATGATGCTTTCAGGCCCATCCCTGATTTGACTGCTATGTTTCCTTAGTTAAGTCATGACCAAGTCTAAGTGACGACGCCTTTCTTTTCATCCCTCCTTGCAGTGGAGTTCCTGCTGTGGTGGACTTTGCTGCCATGCGTGACGCCGTGATGAAACTCGGCGGAGACCCAGAGAAGATTAATCCTGTCTGCCCTGCTGACCTGGTCATCGATCACTCCATCCAAGTGGACTTTAACAGGAAGTAAGACCAGGTTCATCATGCTCTTTTCACCACTGCACCACCTGCTCATAGTTCCTGTGTTATCATCCAAATAGCTACGATATCATAACTGCTGTGTCTTTCTTTACAGTTTCAATATACTGGGGTAGCGTTCAAACTGTTTCCTTAACACTATTCCTTAACCTCAATGAAAAAGATGTGAAGGGGAATTATCAGGACTTATGCAAAGACAACCACTTCCTAACAGAATCCGACTGCTCTACGTTCTTATGATGCGGAGGCAGATGTTATCATTTAGCATCTGCTGTGGGAAAACTACTATTTTCTGTAGATCGATTACTAAGAACCCATCTAGATACTCTGCCTTGTAAGGACTTCATTACCAAGGTTTGAATTAAAATAAGAAATAGTTGTTCACGCTCTCTCTGTCCACTTGGACAATTTATCAACATAAAACCCAATTATTATGATTGAATTCAACCATTTTAATAAATAATCTTATTATATACTACTGAACTAATTAGGAACAGTCAAAAGCAAAACAAGTATTTGACTGCAACCAAGATTCATCAAGCTCCTTCCACCATCGTTCCATAGGTTTATAGATACAGTATGTATATTCCGTTTTTTTTAGGCTTTAACACACTATCTTTTTCCATTAGGTCTGATAGCCTCCAGAAAAACCAGGACTTGGAGTTTGACCGCAACAGAGAGAGATTTCAGTTCTTAAAGGTATGTCAAGAGAACCGTGTGGGTTCTACTTGTCTGATTATATGGTTGACTATGAACAGATGTTCTAACTTCTCTGCCTCTCCTCCCCAGTGGGGCTCTAAAGCCTTCAGGAACATGCGGATCATCCCTCCCGGTTCAGGGATTGTTCACCAGGTCAACCTGGAGTACTTGGCCAGGGTGGTGTTTAACTTTGATGGGTACTTCTACCCCGACAGCCTGGTTGGCACGGACTCCCACACCACCATGATAGATGGACTGGGAGTCCTGGGCTGGGGTAAGAAAAAGTATAACGCATAAGTTATGATAGGATAAACCGCTATTGATGTCCTTTGGGAAATTCAAGTGAGAAGCCATCAAAAAAAAGGCAAGCATATGTTGGGATCTACTGTACAGAGGAATTGACTTAGGGCTCCCATAGCCTACTGCAATTCTCAAATTGCAGGAAGTGCATTATTTGTCCAGGCAAAATATGTATAAATATTATTCTCAATTAAAGATTGTGGTGCCACATAGATTTCCTACCCTTCAAATTGTATTTTATGGACTTATTAAAAAAAGATCCTCTTTCAAAATTCCCATTGTAAATAAAGTTTTCAATGATAATAAGAAAGATTATGCAAAAATTATAAATCGCTTCAATATCATGAATCAAATCGCAATTCCAATATCAGTCATTACTATGGCAATGAGTTCTGTTTTCTGAATCGTCCAGCTGTTTTGAATAGCAGTCCTTGCAACAGCCAATAGATAAGCTCCTATCTGACGATAACAGCACAATAACCCAAACATCTTCCCTTGAGCGGATCATTAATAATGAGTTCCTAAATAATTCCTCATGAAATCCTCAGGTGTGGGTGGAATTGAGGCGGAGGCTGTAATGCTGGGTCAGCCAATCAGCATGGTACTTCCTGAGGTGGTGGGATACAAACTGTCCGGGACCCCAAACCAGTTCATAACCTCCACTGACATCGTCCTCACTGTCACTAAGGTAATTGCAATCCGTTTATAAAGACATGTTTGATTATTTTCACAATCTGATATTTCCCTCCCCCTTGTGTTTTTAGCATCTCCGTCAGGTGGGTGTCGTTGGAAAGTTTGTGGAGTTTTTTGGCCCGGGTGTCTCTCAGCTGTCCATCGCTGACAGAGCCACCATCGCCAACATGTGTCCAGAGTACGGAGCCACGGCAGCCTTCTTCCCCGTAGACGAGGTCAGCGTTCAGTATCTGGAGCAGACCGGTGGGTGCTGAGCTGTTTAGTAAACACATGTGTACAAATAATCTAGCACGGTGACATTAAGTGAATGTTCTGAGGCACAAGTTTGACTGATTGACATTGACCTTTATATGTTTCCTTCAGCACCATCAATATACAAAAGATTAGATTTTTCACCCAAAGAAGCAGCTTTCACATTTCAAATGACCGGTGTACCAACAAATGCATAAAAGACAGTCTATAAGGAATGGGAATGTGACGTCCTGACTCGGGACTTGACTTGGACTTGAGCCTTCTGACTTGAGCTGACTTGATAATTTAATTCAGAGGTCTCCAACACGCCGATCGCGAGCTGCCGCTAGAAGAGCAGACTCCCGTCGGGGAGAACAGAATCTTCAGCCGCTTCTACTCTTGCTGAGAATCCTTGCAGGCAGGGGCGGGTCTTTATTTAGATGGGCCACCATGCGGCCAATCATATGCGAGGACACACTAGGATCATGCCATTATGTGAAAGAAGGGTGGGGGGCAGACGCTCCAAAGACAGCAAGTGTAGTGGTACAGGCCAGCTACAGAGCGACGGGGAGACGGATTGAAATGCAAGCGCGTCGGAAAAAGTCAAGAAATGAGCGAAAACCGAAAAAAGAAGCAGCATCTGGCTGCTTTTCAATGATATTGGAGAAAGCAAAGCTGAGTGCAGGATTTGTAAAATGAAAATAACCTTCAGAGCAGGGTTTTTGTTTGGTAACCACTCAGGATGTATTGCCAGAGGTGGGGGAGAAGTTCAGATCTTGTACTTGAGTAAAAGCACCAGAGTGTAGGAATACTCGGTTACAATAAAAAGTCCTGCATTCAAAATGTTACAAGTAAAAGTACAAAAGTATTATCATCAAAATATACTTAAAGGAGACCTATCATGCTATATTTGAATAATATATTGTAGGGCCATACCTATATAAGGTATATTTATACGTTTTCTTTTTCAAAATACCAAACAGATCATGCATTTTAGCCATGCCTCATTTTGCTCTCCTCCACCCTGTCTTTGCATGAGCTGCAGCTGACCACGCCCCCTTCAAAGGAGGGGCCGAGTTACGACGTCATGTTACCATGCTGTTACCATGCGGTTACCATGCTGTTACCATGCTGTTACCATGCGGTTACCATGCGGTTACCATGCTGTTACCATGCTGTTACCATGCAGTTACCATGCTGTTACCATGCTGTTACCATGCTGTTACCATGCTGTTACCATGCGGTTACCATGCGGTTACCATGCTGTTACCATGCTGTTACCATGCCACGGCAACCTCTCATTCCCCTGATTGGTGGAGAGTTGCCCATATAGGCGGAGCTCCTCGTTCCTGACGTCAGACTATTTTCAAATCTGGATCAGTCTGTATCAGATCTGTTAAAGCCCCGTTTTTAGAGATTTGGGTATGGAGGAAAAGAGAGAGGGTCGTGTTTTCTGACACTTGGTGAGTTCCCTGACACACCGGGGACACATATTCATGAATAAAAGACGTACAAAGGTGCATTTTGCTTGATAGGTCCCCTTTAAAGTACCACCTGCAGAGGGATCTAGACTCAGGTGTTCTCTTCCCCATAGAGACCGCCTCGCTGCACATTATCCCTTGCATAAAGATAGATTGTGGGTCCCTTATAACATGTTGTACACAGTGGAAATAAACATTCTGGTCACCTCAACATCAGGGATCTTATCCATTAAACTCCTTCTGAATCAAACCGTCACGGTAGCCTCACCTTACTGATCCCTCTTCAAATAGAAAAAAGCACGTTACTTTACCAGCAGAGAGAAAATGGATTATTATTAATGTGACTAATAAAGAGCAGTTTGATTATTAAGTATCGGTGTCATTACATTTGTTGAAAAGCACATAAGAACTTTAAGACTCGTTTTGTCAAAGTTTAGGACTTGGACTTGACTTGAACTTGCCCATCCTGACTTGAGACTTGACTCGGACTTGAGCGCAAAGACTTGAGACTTAACTCAGACTTGCAAAACAATGACTTGGTCCCACCTCTGGTAACAGGAATCGGTCCGTTCTTCTCTCAATGGACAGAACGGCTGCTGCTGTTCCCAGAATGCACAGCAGTTCACATTCCTTCAGTCAGAGCATTGTTCAATTACTGACTTGAGATTTTGATTTAAAGGGATCTCTCATTTTTCAGATTGTTCAGCAGAATATTATTTTCAAAATGTTTGTTTCCATTTGTGTTGTATTCAGGGCGAGACGCAGAGAAGCTGGCCTACATTACAAAGTACCTGAAGGCAGTGTCCATGTTCAGAGACTACAACAATGTCTCCCAGGATCCAGACTTCACCAGGGTCAGTCTCCTCATCAGTCTGTCTGTTTTCAGTTATACAATGTTGAGCCCATAAAAGAAGGGTTGATTAAGACTTGCCTTCAAAAGGTAGACTTTGTGGTATTAATGCCCCAATGGCATAACAGAACACCTACAGACACTTTCTTATGTCATAGTAGAAAAAGATACCAGGGTGTCAAGATTTCCTTCTGTAGGCGACAAGTTGTAACATGATACTAATAGCAAAAGATATACAAAGTTTCTGCAGACTCTTCCATTTCTTCATGAACCTTAAAATAGGAAGTAATTGCTACTAAAATGTCCGATTCCCAAAAGTCTTAAAAAAGCTGATGCATGGGCAGTACAATTAATTGTAAATGTACAAAAAAAAAAGTCATGTTTTACATTACAATTCACAAAGTGACATATGTTGTTTGTTTTGTCAAATGTGTGTATTGTAAAGGTCTGGAATCTAAGATCGGAGTGGCATTGGAAAGCTTACAAAGTCTTAAATGTCACTTGCCTTTAACTGTAGGAAACCTCAAATAATATTGAGAATAAATTATACATTTAACAAAATACTGCAGACAGTTTTAAATGTAAAATGTATAAGCAGAATGTATTAACTACCATGCCTAATATATTCTGATATCTCTCCTGCTCTCAGATTGTGGAGTTGGACCTCACCACAGTGGTTCCATGCTGCAGCGGCCCCAAAAGACCTCAGGACAGAATTGCTGTGTCTGATATGAAATCAGACTTTGAATCCTGCCTGGGAGCCAAGGTAAGCAGCACTACGCTCTCATGCTGCACATTAGAAAGCAGGCTGGCACCCTATCAAGGTGTTTTGATATACCAAGGTATTGAGAATTAGTCAGAAATACTATCTATTAAACTGATCCAGAGGCTTTTCTGAGGGCACGTGTTGTAGTGCACGGCTTCAGCCACCAGAGGTCAGGCTATACTTGTAGAACAACAGACTGCAAGCCCTAAAGATAACGTGACAGCAGCGGTGGAAGAAGTATTCAGATTAATTTCAAGTTAAAGTCCTGTATTCAAGATCTTACTACTACTAAAGTATTATCAGCAAAATGTACTTAAAGTATAAAAAGTAAAAGTAATCGTTGTGCAGAAAAATGGCCTTTATGTGTGTATATAATTCTATCTATATGTGGCATTTCCACATAGTAGTGTTCTATCAAGTAGCATTTGACTGTTACTTTCAGTTCTGATTGACATTTTGTAAAATATTTTGACTTTTGTGACTCAAAGAGTTAGATTTTTAGAGATGCTTTTCGTTCAAAGTAGCTATAGCTGTTAAATAAATGTAGTACAGTACAATTACATTATTTCCCTTTGAAATGTAGTGGAGTAGAAGTATAAATTAGCATAACATGGAAATACTCAAGTAAAGTACAAGAACCTCAAAATGTTGAGTCTTCTTTCAACCACAGAGGCAGCTTATTAGCTACATGATTCACAAAGTGTGTTTCCTGTTGAAGACCATGAGCTATTCAACGTTTGCTTTTGTTGTTTTTCTTATAAAACCTTTTTTACCGTATTCCTAGTGAGATGTCAGGAACTTATGAAGGAATGAAAAATGAAATATAGTCCAAGCCTTTAATGAAGAATGAAGGATTCAGATGTTTATTTCTTACGTATTTATTTAAAAAGGACCATGCATACATTCATCTCAGAAAAGAGAAGGGATATATACTCAACTGCTGTTACTCTCAGTTCATTGGCAACTCATTTCCTGGTGGTGTGTGTCATTTCCAGCAAGGCTTCAAGGGTTTCCAGATTCCTCCGGAGCATCACAGCACTGCTGTCCCCTTCCGGTTTAATGACAAAGATTATACATTAAACCACGGCTCTGTGGTCATCGCTGCTATCACCAGCTGCACCAACACCAGCAACCCCTCCGTCATGCTGGGGGCAGGTGGGTCTATATTGGATTATAGTGGGCTTCAAAGATGGTCAGGGTGAAGACTGTCATTGGACAAACGTATACAATATAAATCCTCTTCTTTCAGGGCTCCTTGCAAAGAAAGCAATAGAGTGTGGCTTGAGTGTGAAGCCGTACATAAAGACCAGCCTGTCCCCCGGCAGCGGGGTGGTCACCTACTACCTGAAGGAGAGCGGAGTGATGGACTACCTCTTTCAGCTGGGGTAAGATCCACATGTCTCACTTCGGTTATTTTTCATTTCCTCGCTCCTCGGGCTCGGTCTCACCAGAAGTTGATTTGTCTGCGCCATCTTGAGTAGCGTCCCAGTGGCCTTATTTTTGCCGGAGGATCGAGGAGTGATAACGGAGGAGCGATAATCGAGGAGCTACCAGACCATCCTCCGGTGAACTCCTCAGACACTCGCCCCGCCCCCTTACTGTGTATCGCTCACTGATTGGACGATGCAGCGCATGCACTGATCTGGCTGCTGTCAGGCGATCAGCTTTGCAGAGTCATCACAAACAGACGTCGCTTCACGTGACGCTCCGGAGGAAACGACGTCTCATTGCTCTTAAAACTCATTTCCCTGCTTCTCGTGGTTTCCTTGCGTCTCTCCATGCTTCCCTGGTGGGAGGGACTAGACGCAGGGAAACGACGCAAGTGAGGGACGCAAGGAATCAATTTAACCGAAGTGAGAAGCACCCGTAGAAACATGTTGTGTCCATTATGTTAGTTGATTATTTACATTAGAGAACAGTAGTTTGACACTAATCAACACAACTCAAGATCTTCTTACTAGCTTTTTTCTTTACCTTTTCAACTCAATTTGCACTGAGGTCATGGATATAGCTCATAAACACATAGATTACATCTGCATGTACTTTAGACAATCATACATATATACACACGTATATCATTTCCCAAATGATCCTTGCTGTCCCTATCTGAGACTGAAAGGCAACTTAAACCTTTGGAAATATGTGAGCCAATTTGTAAAAGGAAGTTGCAATAGAAAAGAAGGAACAAATGTTTGCTATGATTTAAATACTTAATCACCAGTACTTTTCCAACAGTAAAATGCTCCAATCAGCATTTTAAAAGGGATCAGACGTGTCAACATCTAAACTAGTGTCAGCTTCACAAATCACTTGCTGGTTTATTTGAACTAAACAGTGTATTATGTAGTGTATAAACATCTTCAGTAATATTACACCACCTTTTAAATACATTTCCTGTTGTATTATGTACATTATTTTGAGACACTGTTTACAGATACTGGCTATCTAGTAAAGAGAGCTAAATATCTAGAAAAAGTAAGGTTCTTATTGATATTTACGGAAATGGTGCATTCGCAGGAATGTAGCATAAAGCTGTCCTGCTCACTGATATGCAGCATGGCCTGCTGAGTGTACACAGAGATATTAAAGAGTTGCCACAATAAAAGAGACAGCTTTCTGTAGGCACGAAATCACCATTCAAATATAGTTCTATTATTGTTAAGGCTGCTTGATACAGTCAAATAGTGATATCTGATGGATTATCTTTTGTTTGTATGTATTCAAACACCATGATGGAACCAGGTCTCACAGCTGTCATTATTAATATAGTCAGTAAATATTACCTCCATAAAACTACACTTGAAGGTGGTCATGTCATGTTTGGCACTTGAAGTTAGCATGAAGTTATTTAAAGATACTTTTCTAACCTTTTAAACCCTCATTTTGTGTCTCCTGATAGCTTTGAGGTTGTTGGCTATGGTTGCATGACCTGTATAGGCAACAGTGGGCCGCTCCCAGAGCCGGTGGTGGAGGCCATTACCCAGGTACCCCGGGCTGTTTCAACATTGCTGCTGTGTCGTTGCATATGTCAAAGCTCTCATTAGCTCCTTTTCCCCTCATTGTTTCTCTTCCCACCATTCCTCACCCACCTCATTTTATTTTTGTTTTCCTTTTTCCTGATCTGCCTGATCTTCACTTCCTCATTTTACAAGCTATGTACATAAACAATAATGCATAAACAAAATGATATCCTCCCAACATTTAAGGTTTGTTTTTCTTTCAGGGTGATCTGGTGGCTTCAGGCGTCCTATCAGGAAACAGAAACTTTGAAGGCAGAGTCCACCCCAACACCAGAGCCAACTACCTGGCTTCCCCCCCGCTCGTCATCGCCTATGCTATAGCCGGCACTGTGAGGATAGACTTTGATAAAGAGCCCATCGGTGAGAAGTTAGATTTGGAAAGTAACTGCAAAAAGAGAAACAATTAAGTTAAGAAATTCCCTTCATTACTCCTAACACATTGAGTCATCAGTTCAATGGATAAGCATATTGGATAAGCAAACTGTCAGGTGGCATTGTGGGTAATGTGGTGCCAGGATTTGACAAGGGAGAGAAGGGATGTGTGGAAGAGAATATTTCTGATACTGCTGCTTTGTTTATTACCTTCTTTATATTCATCCAAAACATGTATTGTGTGTCTGACTGTTAGAAGACTGTAATGGCAAATCAGCGCAAAACTATTTGGATCACTTTTATTTTCCATTCCTTCTTTATCAATTTGAATAACTCAGCGTAGCTAGTCTTTACAGTGGCCGTAAGACACGAGCTATAGATCAATCTCTTATCTGTAATCATACACAACCTATTTATAGACATCCATGGATAATTAACGGTAACTTTGGGAATTTAAACCGATTGGGAATGACGTTCTGGAACTGGAGACTTTGGACTTTGAATATGACACTGACTCATAAGGATGAAACATGTTCAAGCACAAAGGACTAGATGTTTCAATCCCTTCAGTTTTTCCTCAGGTCCTTACAGGGAAATGTTGATTTACTTTCTCTGCCTTCATTGCATCTCAGAAGACAGCTCATTCAAAAATAATTACGGTGGAAACAGAATGAACAGAGGTTGTTGTGTGGATTTGCTGTTGGTGTTTGGCCGTGTGTGCAGCGTGTGGGAGCTTTGGACAGGTTGGCAGACCTGCTGGATCAACAGTATTGTTATAATGACCTTTTGTTATTGTTCTAATACTGTCAGCAGTTGTGGTCTGGCTTGAGGAGAGAAATAAGGTTGCCTTCCCTTTGCCACAGAAATGTGTCTGAGGGGTCCAAATTAACACATTCCAACCACCAGGGACAAGAGGGAGCCATGCATCTAATCTAAATCTACTATAACTAAAGAAGAGGCATTTCCACCAGGCTGTCAGAGTTGTTGCTATAAGAGGATATATTCTGCTGATGTTCAGGTGTATATCAGTATGTAGTGTCTCTACTTTAAAGAGTCCTCTCCTGCTGATGTTCAGGTGTATATCAGTATGTAGTGTCTCTACTTTAAAGAGTCCTCTCTTGCTGATGTTCAGGTGTATATCAGTATGTAGTGTCTCTACTTTAAAGAGTCCTCCTGCTGATGTTCAGGTGTATATCAGTATGTAGTGTCTCTACTTTAAAGAGTCCTCTCTTGCTGATGTTCAGGTGTATATCAGTATGTAGTGTCTCTACTTTAAAGAGTCCTCTCCTGCTGATGTTCAGGTGTATATCAGTATGTGGTGTCTCTACTTTAAAGAGTCCTCTCCTGCTGATGTTCAGGTGTATATCAGTATGTAGTGTCTCTACTTTAAAGAGTCCTCTCCTGCTGATGTTCAGGTGTATATCAGTATGTAGTGTCTCTACTTTAAAGAGTCCTCTCCTGCTGATGTTCAGGTGTATATCAGTATGTAGTGTCTCTACTTTAAAGAGTCCTCTCCTGCTGATGTTCAGGTGTATATCAGTATGTAGTGTCTCTACTTTAAAGAGTCCTTTCCTGCTGATGTTCAGGTGTATATCAGTATGTAGTGTCTCTACTTTAAAGAGTCCTCTCCTGCTGATGTTCAGGTGTATATCAGTATGTAGTGTCTCTACTTTAAAGAGTCCTCTCCTGCTGATGTTCAGGTGTATATCAGTATGTAGTGTCTCTACTTTAAGAGTCCTCTCCTGCTGATGTTCAGGTGTATATCAGTATGTAGTGTCTCTACTTTAAAGAGTCCTCTCCTGCTGATGTTCAGGTGTATATCAGTATGTAGTGTCTCTACTTTAAAGAGTCCTCTCCTGCTGATGTTCAGGTGTATATCAGTATGTAGAGTCTCTACTTTAAAGAGTCCTCTCCTGCTGATGTTCAGGTGTATATCAGTATGTAGAGTCTCTACTTTAAAGAGTCCTCTCCTGCTGATGTTCAGGTGTATATCAGTATGTAGTGTCTCTACTTTAAAGAGTCCTCTCCTGCTGATGTTCAGGTGTATATCAGTATGTAGTGTCTCTACTTTAAAGAGTCCTCTCCTGCTGATGTTCAGGTGTATATCAGTATGTAGAGTCTCTACTTTAAAGAGTCCTTTCCTGCTGATGTTCAGGTGTATATCAGTATGTAGTGTCTCTACTTTAAAGAGTCCTCTCCTGCTGATGTTCAGGTGTATATCAGTATGTAGAGTCTCTACTTTAAAGAGTCCTCTCCTGCTGATGTTCAGGTGTATATCAGTATGTAGTGTCTCTACTTTAAAGAGTCCTCTCCTGCTGATGTTCAGGTGCATATCAGTATGTAGTGTCTCTACTTTAAAGAGTCCTCCCCTGCTGATGTTCAGGTGTATATCAGTATGTAGAGTCTCTACTTTAAAGAGTCCTCTCCTGCTGATGTTCAGGTGTATATCAGTATGTAGTGTCTCTACTTTAAAGAGTCCTCTCCTGCTGATGTTCAGGTGTGTATCAGTATGTAGTGTCTCTACTTTAAAGAGTCCTCTCCTGCTGATGTTCAGGTGTATATCAGTATGTAGTGTCTCTACTTTAAAGAGTCCTCTCCTGCTGACGTTCAGGTGTATATCAGTATGTAGTGTCTCTACTTTAAAGAGTCCTCTCCTGCTGATATATCAGTATGTAGTGTCTCTACTTTAAAGAGTCCTCTCCTGCTCATGTTCAGGTGTATATCAGTATGTAGTGTCTCTACTTTAAAGAGTCCTCTCCTGCTGATGTTCAGGTGTATATCAGTATGTAGTGTCTCTACTTTAAAGAGTCCTCTCCTGCTGACGTTCAGGTGTATATCAGTATGTAGTGTCTCTACTTTAAAGAGTCCTCTCCTGCTGATATATCAGTATGTAGTGTCTCTACTTTAAAGAGTTCTCTCCTGCTGATGGTCAGGTGTATATCAGTATGTAGTGTCTCTACTTTAAAGAGTCCTCTCCTGCTCATGTTCAGGTGTATATCAGTATGTAGTGTAGGGCTGTGCGATTATGGCAAAAATCATAATCACGATTATTTGGGTCAATAATTGATATCACGATTATTTTGACGATTATTCATTGACCATTTATTGAACTTTAAAACAAATAATATTTTACCAATAAACAAGATCAACAAATATGTTGGAGCACACTTCCAAAACCATACTAAACATATATTATTAATATGATAAATAAAAATAAATTAGACCAAAATAAATGAAATCAAACATGTTGCAGTGCACTGTCACAACCTACTGAAAACTCCTTAACATATAGCCAACATGTTGGTAAAACATATTCAACATATTCCACTCAGTTAAACGTTGAAGGCTGGCCAACCGTCATGGTCCAGAAGTAACAGGAAATAAATGTTGAACTACAATTTAAGACCAAATAAAAATGTTTAGGCCACCATGGCAAATGCTGGTAGGGCTGCTCATGTCATCATGTTAAAGATTGTTCGCTAGAAACACCAGCCTGTTTACATGGTCTGGTTTCAGAGATGAGCGCAGGCAGGTGACAATATTGCCACCTGTACTGAAGACCCTCAGCCACGCCCCGACACATGGGGTGACGCCGGCCAATCACAAAGCTTTGATGCGTTCAAGTGCATTATTCTGGCACAGGAAGATTATGTTACAGGACATTAACGATAAAACAGAATATTGTTGTTCTATTTTTAGACACATCTCGCGATCGACTGGTTGGGCACCCCTGGGCTAGACCATAGGTCCGTTGTGGTCGCAAAGTAGTCAGCTGAAGCCACATCTCTCTCAACTTCCCCACGGCATTTGTCATATAGCGCAGGCAGCGCAGACCTGCTGAAATAATACCGAGACGGCATCGCGTAACGCTTGTCCAACGTGTTGACAAGTTGCTTAAAACCCTGGTTGCTAACAGTGCTAACTGGGCACATATCTTTAGCGATGTGAAATGTAATGGCACCTGTAATATCTCTGTGTCTCTGCGAGCTCGTCGCGTAGGCCGTTGCTCTGTACAATGCGTCCAGAATCGATGACTGTGATGATGTGGTGGATGAAGTCGAGCGGGCATCTGCTTTTTGTTGTATTACTGCCCGGTCGTATTGCACTTTGTGGTTGTATTTCAGCTGATTAAAGAGATTGGTTGTGTTAGCGTGTGGTGCCAACACAACCTGGTAACAAATCCTGCACTGTACTTTGTTTTGCTCCACGTCGGACTCCTGAAAGCCAAAGTACTTCCAAATAGTGGAAATAGTTTGACCCTTCTTTTTAACGAGTTGCTGCTCTTGATCTGACATCTTGGCTCGCGCTGAACACTCACAACACATGTCACTCCCACGTGGCCGAGTGGGCTTTTAGGGAGGGGCGAAAGCGCACCCAGCAAAAATAATCGTATTTTGTCAATTATGCTGTTTTCATAATCGTCGCAAACCATAATCGTAATCGCGATTAAAATACGATTAATTGCACAGCCCTAATGTAGTGTCTCTACTTTAAAGAGTCCTCTCTTGCTGATGTTCAGGTGTATATCAGTATGTAGTGTCTCTACTTTAAAGAGTCCTCTCCTGCTGATGTTCAAGTGTATATCAGTATGTAGTGTTTCTACTTTAAAGAGTCCTCCTGCTGATGTTCAGGTGTATATCAGTGTGTAGTGTCTCTACTTTAAAGAGTCCTCTCCTGCTGATGTTCAGGTGTATATCAGTATGTAGTGTCTCTACTTTAAAGAGTCCTCTCCTGCTGATGTTCAGGTGTATATCAGTATGTAGTGTCTCTACTTTAAAGAGTCCTCTCCTGCTGATGTTCAGGTGTATATCAGTATGTAGTGTCTCTACTTTAAAGAGTCCTCTCCTGCTGATGTTCAGGTGTATATCAGTATGTAGTGTCTCTACTTTAAAGAGTCCTCTCCTGCTGATGTTCAGGTGTATATCAGTATGTAGTGTCTCTACTTTAAAGAGTCCTCTCCTGCTGATGTTCAGGTGTATATCAGTATG